TACATAAAGTCTACATATTATTATAAACATTTTTTTTTGTAATTCATTAGTTTAGTTTTAATTTAATTTAATTATTATTCTTGTAATTTAAAATGCAATAAATATAAAGATAGTGAAATTCAAAATAAAATCTTAGTAATTTGAGTAGGTAATTTTGAAAAACCTCCGGTAATCCGGAAAAATCGATAATTCGGACGATTCTCGGTCTGAATTCGTCCGGACTATTGAGGCTCTGCTGTAGTATTTTGTCCATCATGCCGGTTACCCTAGTATTGCAATAATACTTTTTATAACTGATTTTAATTTGTAATTATGTCTACTTGAAGTCGATTAGTCCAMTTTTTCCAATCCTCCCTCCCCAACAACTATAAACTTAGTTTGAATATTTTGAAATTTCGTAATCAAACGTTGAATGTTGATTTATTCATAATTTAAATCAGAAATCTTAAAATGTGGGCTGATTGATCTCAAGCAGATATTATAACGAATTCAGATAATTTTTCTGAAATATTATCGCGTTATCAGGTTGATCGATAGGAATGTAGAATGGACAAAAAAGATTTACAAATTAGTATAAATTRTTTATCCTTCGTGTGCGCAACGCCGAGGTGGTAACTTGTACGTACATGTACGTATTGCACGTATATGGAAGCGCTCTGTTATTTCTTTTACTAACAGTCACACATACTAATCATCACCCTACACACACATTTAAAAGGACTACATGCGTGCAAATTTAAAATTGTTTGATTCATCCCTTTAACTTTAAAATACCTCACCTCGCGGTTTGCAAAAGCAGTACTGTGTTTTCGCCTTCATAAGTTTCTGTTGCAGTAGACAGTGAATAGATGTTCGGCAGATTGCTGCAGTTCATGTATCCATGACCTCCACACGCCAAACGACAAGATGTCACGCTAACAGACGCATCGGCCGTTCCGACAGCTTTCAGACAACAAGCCATAGCATGTAACTGCAATARGTATATTATTATGTAATAAAGGATATGATATACCTACAATAATTGCCTAATAGCTTATCAAAGACTTGCGTATTATTTTTTTTCATATGAACAATTTTTATTTACAACATTCCTATACCAATTTCTTTCTTAATTAAAAATGTATTTCGAAAACCTACGTATATATTAATGAATCAATTAGTACCAACTATTAATAATTTACATAGAAGTTTTTTATTATTACACAGAAAGTGAGGTTATAAGAAATTTATAGAGACATAGAGTATAGGGATGTTTTTTCCAAATTTGGTACCTCTGATATATAGATGGCCAGATGGGTTCCTAACGGTCAAAATGAGCTATCAACAACTATCAAGCCCCCCCGTCCGTTACGGGATGTTCGCAACATCCTAAAGTGTTAACCAATTCATGCCATGTTACTGACTGAATTTGCATTTATTTAAAGTTATAAAAGTGAAGGAGAAGCTTTTCTCGACTCAATTATGACCGGGAACGAAACGTGAGTAAACTTTTACGCCTAAGTCTTGATTAACTGAAAAGTACTTGTTTTTAACGAAGAAAATCATAGAATCTGTCTTTTGAGTCAGTAAGCAATCTTATCGAATGATTTAAACCCAAAGTGACTACCATAATTCTTATACTGACATATTGTATATACTGTGAGATCCTTGTAACTCACCTACCTTATTAATTGGATTTGGCAACCACAAATTACTTCATTTTAATGCAGATTGAAAGAAATTTTTTCCCAACAATAAATAGGTAGGTCTAGTTGGGTAAAAGTAGCAATGAAGAATGCATTGATTTCAAAGACATATAGAGAAATAATGACGTATTTTAGCATCATATAGGACATAAATAAGGTATCCTGTAAATTTAATTAAAATATAACAACTTTCTGGTTTTTAATAGGTATTATTGTAACATTACTTTATGGAAGTTAGT